TAAGTTTTCTTTGGGTTATATCTTCTTACATTTCATTTATGTAAGAAAGGTGCTCTATTATCTGATCTTCTTAAGAAGTACCTTTTCTTTGTCTTTATATTATTGTTATTTCTACTTTGATATCTATGGTTTCTTTTATTTCTAGGCCTATCTTCTCCATATGATAAAGGTATTTGTATTATTTTATTGCAAAAATTATAATCAGAATGTTTCATTGACCTTTGGGCTTGTATTCCTGTGCATATTTTTCTTAATTGTTTGAACACAAAGGTTATGGCTTGGGAAATATTAATTTCAGCTCCTTCAGTTTCCTTTTTATATTCCTCAAAAATCATACTACCTAATGGGTCAGGTAGTTTATTAAAATATCGCTCAACTATTCCCTTATTGTATCCTTGCTTATCAGTTGTTGCATTATATAGATAATGTTGAGAAAATTCCTTTATACCTTTCTAGCTTGTTAAGGTTAATTTTTCTATTTCTTTTAATCTTTCATTTTGCAGGGTTGTATATCCTAATTCTGGGTCTTCAGCTATGATAATATTAGATACTATATTTGCAAAGTTGTGAGGATTACTTCCTGCTCTTTTTAGCTCTTCGTAGTTATTAGGATTCTTTTCAACCCATTGTTCCCATAGGACTTTAGCAGATTCACCCAAAAATGTTTCTAAATAAGTTATCATATCCCCCACATTATTCCCTATATTATGCTGATTTTGTATATATTTTTGAACTATTAACCCCTTCCAAAAACTAATGATATTTGGCCAGTCTATGGGATCATGTGCTGCTAGATTTAGTATAGCCCCATCACTTTTTTGATTTTGAAATTTTATTGATTTCTCAAAATCTCTTCTTTTAGTACCCATGTGCCTATACTGTCCTGGGATATAATGATATGAATATTCTTCTTTTTCTGGAGGCCATCTTCCTGCTGCCCTGGCTGGTCTTTTTTCTTTCTCCTTCATTTTGTACAGAACCCTCTCCGTATCTTTTCCTTTTTCCTGTTCCCAAATCTACTTTCATGGCTTCCATTGCATTATCTAGATTATGCAAACCTACCTCATCCAATGAGTCTATAAAATCATTATATTGTTCTGCATTATCTTCTTCTTCTATATTCTCTATTTCCTCTATCAGGTTGTTTTCTTCTTCATAACTCTCTAGTAATAATTTCTCATTTACTTCCCATTGCTCTTCCTCACTTAATACCTTATCAAACTTTTGGATTTCTTCTCTTGGTTCTTTTGACTTTATTTGTTCTATTTTAATTTCCTGGGTTCTGGGGGTTTCTATGGCCAAGCTTTTCTCTTTTTTTTGTTTCTTAATCCTGGATAGTTCTCTATAGAAATAAAGTTCCTTGTCTCTAATTTTAGGCCACTCACTTTTCATAGAGTTATTATATTCATCTGCTATATCTCTTAATTTATCTTCATAATATTTTATTTCACTTTCATGGTCTAATTTTTCCATCAATTCAGAAATACTATGTCTTCTATTATCTATAATATTTCTGTCAGTTGATTCTGCATCCAAATCATCCGAAGCTCTGGTTTTATAATTTGTAAATCTAATACTAACATTCCCTTTGCTATCTTGGTAACTTATGAAGTTTTCAGGCTGACTCAAGGTTTTATTTTTTATAAATTCACTAATTGGCCATTTTTCTCCTGCTCTTTCTTCAGTGTCTATTGTTAAAGGGCTCATGAATTTTATTCCTTTAGAATGCATTTTTTCTATCACATCATTTACATTGATTTTGTATTTGGTGGCACTTCTATTAGTCAATCTTCCTATAAATTCTATACTTATTAATAAATTTGTTCCTTTAAACTCTTCGTATCCTTTTGTTTGAAACCAAAACTCATTTTATCTATGAATTCATTTACAGGCATCATTAAATCAGGCGCTATATAGGTTATCAACATATTTTCATTCATATCTCCTTCTAGATAGCCTAAAGATGCTTTGTTTATTGTGTCCCATCTTTTATCTAATAAGGTTATTAACACTTTAGCTCCTAATTTCTTTCTTGTCATTCCTTTGATTCCTATTATGTACATACCTTGGTGAATATACTTATATCCTGAATATTTTAAACTATTTTCAAATTCTTTAGCTACTATTTTTAATTCTACTGGTTTTGTTAGAACACTTAATTCTACTTCTCTAGATATTCTATATAGCCCATTCTTATTCTCAAAAAATCCCATGCAGTATACTTGTTGAGGTCTTATTGCCCTTAAAGTATCTCGTTGATATCTTTCGAGCTGTTTATCTACTTGTGCAACATCTTTCAGCTCATCTATGTCATCATATTTGCCTTTTTGTTTATCAGAACAGTTATCATCTCTGCTTGCTATTCTTCTAAAGAGACTCCTAAATATGTCCATTTTTCAGAATTAATGGCTTGTGAAGATGAGACTATGCCGGATGAAGCCAAAACTATTTCCTTACCTTTACTAGAGTTGATTTTGTCTAGTAATTCTTTAATATAATCACTATTCTGTGAAATTTTATTTTGCCTTATCTTATAATCTTCTAATAATTCTAATGTAGTATTTAGCTTATTATTAAGAAAAGAATATTGTTCTACAAATTGCTTTTGTTCTTTATATATATCTTCTAACTTTTGCTCTAAATCTTCCTGTCTCTTACCCCAATTTATATAGAAATTATATATTAAATCTACAATTAAATTTAGTTGGCTATTATTAGAGTGCCAACTATGTTCTTCAGTATGGCTTAATCTACACCTTATATTGATATTATCTTTGGTATTTATTAACTTTCCAATATTAGCTTCTAAATTTAGCTTCTCTATGATTACTAGGCTCTGATACCACTTTACTAGGACTAACACTATTCACTATTCACTACTGTTCACTCGAAAATTTTCTTTAAATTTTTAGGATCTTTGTTGGGTGGCGAATCCAAAAATAGCCGGCGCTTGATTTAGAAATTTTAAAGTCCTACTCGGTACTAGCCGTATGCCTCACTTATCTGCCTATTTAAGCAACCATCTTCAGATATCCCTAGTCATATTTGAACTAGCTAAGTGTTTATCGTCTCCCCAGGCAGTTCCACCCGAGGGGAACACTTCTCTACGGATACTGGTTCTCCAGACGCCTATGCAAGATGCAGGCTAAAAACGAGAACAACCGAGAGGTTTCTCCTATAGGGTCCCTAGCATAAACGCTTGTCTAGAGCAAACAGACAGGGAAACTTAAAGAAAATTACTTCATATTAAGCAAATAGGCTTACATACGGTTTTCCCTTTCGGGAACCCCGAAGGTAGATACAAAGAAGTTTTTCTCACCTTACAAACCTTTATATTACAACTCCTTGCTTCAATATATATTATGTAAGGTAGGCTAGAGGAACTACTACTGAGAAAGATGGAATGGAGGGTGAGAGCGCGCTTGGAAGCTTTGCTCTGAATGGTGTCTTCGTGGTTGTGTGTCTTCGGAGTGAAGGCCAACGTCTCCTTTTATAGAGGCCAGGGATGATGTCGCCTGTGCCTCCTGCTTATCTCTTCGCATATATATATATATATATATATATATATATATATATATATATATATATATATGACGGCTGTTTTGTACTCCCGGGAGTACATATACACCCTCCCCTGACAGTGGATCATCCGATAGGATCCCATTTTGCCGAATTGAGAAACAAAATAATTAAATACTTGATGTAACAATCGATGCATGCATACAACTACTAATTTGAAAATTACTGTTGCATGCAAAGTAGTTAGGTATGCAGTGTGCTTTTTTTTTTCCTTCATAATATTCGGTATGCGTTGAAAGAACATAGGTCTTTTTTTTTTCAGGATCCAGTATATATTGTTTTTTTTGTATGACTTAGTATGTACTAGTACGTAGTAGATTTTATGTTGCTGGACTATATGCTTTTTTTGTTGTAATATCCAGTATGTATGTACTTGATTTCTTTATATATGGTATATACTTTTATAAGTTAGTAACAGTATGTACCTTTCTAAATTAGTATAGCAGTATATACCTTTTTAAATTAGTAGAGCAGTATGTATATACCTTTTTTAAGTTAATAGCGGTATGTACCTTTTTAAATTAGTAGAGCAGTATATACCTTTCTTAAGTTAATAGCGGTATGTACCTTTTTAAATTAGTAGAACAGTATATACCTTTTTTAAGTTTGTAGTGGTATGTACCTTTTTAAATTATTAGAATAGTATATACCTTTTAAGTCAACATCAGAGTATATACTTCTTTTAAAGTTAGTATCAGTATATACTGTTTTTTTTCTTTTTTTTAAGGTAGTGGCAGTATAAAATTCTAAGTTAGTAGGCAGGATATGCATTTTTAAGAACATGTTATTTTAAAATTAGGAGTAGTAAAGTATATACTCCTAATTCTCTGAGATGCAAAAGTATTGGTACATTAATTCTCTGAGATGCAGCATGTATTGAGATGAGAATATGAAGAATAGAAAATCTTTGAATGAGCCATTCTAATCTAGATATAAACGAAAGCATATGCTGACTATAAACCAGAGCATACAATCCAGGCAGTATATCCCATTCACTTCATGTATAACAGAATATCCAATACGAGGAGCACAAAGCTCTGTTTTCTTTTCGGAGCAATATACTCGACTTTCAGAATACTTCAAAACAAAATTATGCCACTAAATCGGGAGTGGATTCTAATCCCTCGAGGGGACATCCCCTCGTATACCTTTTTCTTCTAAATTCGATGCAAATAGTTGTGAAAAATTTTGAAAAAAATGACAATGTAGAGTATAATGATACCTAATAGTCCACCAAAATTCATGTTCAAATTCGATCTACACATCGAGAAAAAAAAAAGACAAATTTATATATAAACAGTACGCTACTATTCATACGCTGAATTTGTCTTTTTTATATCTCGACGTGTGAGTTGAGTTTGGACTTAAGATTTTGTGGAGTTATATATATGTGTTGTATGAATGTTGTTAAATTTTTCCAGAATTTTTCATAACTGTTTAGATGGTTTTTGAGTAAACGAGGGAACATCCCCTCGAGGGATTAGAATAGTTTCCCCACTAAATCACAGTTTCCAAACAAGGGCTTTTTCCCATGGCGCAGACCCTCTACGCTAGCTTGTTGCAGGGTTGAGGAAAGCATTTGAGTCATTGGGGTCAACATGTTCTGACGCCGGTTGGCAACCATCTGCATGCAACAATGAGAGGCTTAATCATTGAACTAATAGAAGAATAAAATTGGATTGCCATAGAAAGAATGCATAAAAAAAAATCCCTACCGTTTTGTGCAGCATCGGGCTAGCTGCCACATCAATCTTGCCTCATCAATGCCGTGGATGACGTTGTGACCTGCTGATGAGAGGTCGCTGCCTATACGACATACGCACGAGCCTTCCGATGGATATGGACCGACGCCATCACGGAAAGCCCACCGCCTGCTTGCCAATGACGTCGCTGGGGGACGATCGTGTCGTCGGTTGGATGGACGATGGGTTGCACCGTGAGTCTGCCGCCGTGCCGCCGCCGCCGATTTCGTTCATATCAAGCAAAGCCTCGTCTGATCTGGCTTTGGTTTAGGACGGGATAACTGTTCAAGCAATTAATCTGATTAGAATCACAAGCGGATTAATAATTGATCTACAAGAGAGGACTTACTAGCATCGTTTTAGTCTCCCATCGGTGCAACGGATGTACATGATGATGCCTCTTTCTCCCTGTCGGACACTGAATTGGACCAACCGTCGTCGAGCCGGTGCGCTGCGCGCCGCCTAGAAACGACGATCTGGAGTCGATCTTGCCACCGCCAAGAAATGTCAAATGGCAGGCCAGTAGTGGCGGTGCCGGATTTATGTAAGCTGTTCGTTCCAGATCCGAGTTGTATGGGATAATTAAGGATTATATGTGAATTCATTTTTCACGTAAAATTGAAACGGGTTCGTTCGATGGGATCCGATAGTAAAATCGTGCAGGCTCATTGAGATGCTTTGGATCGACGGTGGATATAGCAGGAGTACGTACTCCCAGGAGCATAGAATCATTTTCCTATCTATATCTATATCTATACCTAATTAAAAAATACGTAAGGCTTCCGGTAAAAAGTTTCGTCCGTCTCTTTTTTTTTCGCTATTTTCTCTTTTTTCCTGTTTTCCTTTCTTTTCGTCCGACTTTTTTTTTTCGCTGTTCTCTTTTTTTTTCCGGATTTCCTTCCTATCTGTCCGCTTCTCTTTTTTTTTTTTCCGTTTTTTCCGTTTTGTTCTGTCCGTCTATTTTTCTTTTTTTCTTTTTTGTCCTCTTTATTTTTCTTTTGCAGTTTTTAGTACACAGTCAGATCTATCTCTTCATATGTTTCCAGCCCATATGTTTTCTCCTCGAATTGATTAAAAAATTAATTTCCCACTATTCCCTTATTATTATCCCTATGATTTTCCCTTTTAGTTCTGTTTTAGTTCACCAAATTTTATCTCCATTCGAAAGTCACTGTTTTTATTTCCGAGTTTTGCGGATTCGCTCCAATTTTGATACAAAGGAAAGAGGAGATCGAGTGTATCAAAAGCCCTCAACCAATCGACCGGATTTGATGGGGACAATCGGTTTTGGCGTACTTATATGAGACTGTCTTTCGGAGGTTGAAGACAATAGTCGGGTATGCGAGCTGGACCTACACAGCTCGACTTGTGAGTTGGGTCAAAAGAGAGGCGACCAAGCAGAGGGAGGTAGCTGGCTAGGCTGGGGCTGAAAAAAAGAGAGGAATGAATGAGCCGAAAGAACGAGCTTTTGGTCCAAAACCAAAGAGTAAAATGTAGACATCCAAAAATATTTTTACCCGTTGCAACGCACGGGCATTTTTTTCTAGTATATATATATATATATATGAGTTGGATAATATGAACCGCGGTTCATATGCACCTCAATCCCCTGGTCGACACGTGTACACATGGCTCTAGAGCAATCGTGTTCCATCATGTTCACTAATCACCATCAGAAGTACCTACTAGGTGGAGTTCCTACATAGGCTTGACATATAGCAGGTACCATAAAATATTGAGTAGTACTGCTGCATTCAACACTCCAATTGCTAGTGTGGCTATTGATGTCAGTGGATATATTCATGACGTTGGAGGAGAGAGCTTTGGCCTTTGAGTTTTTTTTTTCTGACAAGAAGTAAATTCCGGCTTTGACCTTTCAGTTGTTCACTGTTGTGCTGATTTTCTTCAGCAAACTAACCTGCCACTTCAGTCGATACTCTAATTTGTGCTGATTTTCTATTCTTTTACACTAACTTTGCACTTATTTAATCATGTGTATTTTTTATTTTTATATATATGGACGTATCCACGTATCCTTGTTTCTTCGAAAATAATATATCCACGTAAAGCGTATCTGTATTCACATTTCTGTCTCTAGGTAATCTATGGAGAGAGTGGTTAACTGACTCTTTTTAATTAGATTCATTGGCAGCATTCAAATTACTCCACGTGATTAGATATTAAGCATGTTGATTTTAATGAGTTAATCTAAACAGCTTGTTTTGTATTTCCAAAATTTAATCTAATAAGTTTGGTTTTATTGGGATATAATATATCAAAATGATTCTTCACTCGCCATGCGAAAACAATATTGGCACAAAAATGGAATTTCAAAAATGTCATTTCGCAAAACTGATGTCCAAAAATGATATTGTAAAAATGATATATCACTTGACATATATTGAAATAAAAAAACACATGACTGTTATTTTTTTTCATATATATGCTACATTCTAAAATATAATCTTATTATAATCGACAGAGAAAATAATGTATACTACAGTTTGTTGGCAATTAAATATCATGTTGCAAAATTGACGTCCAAAAATGGCATTGTAAAAATGATATATCACTAGGCATATATTAAATAAAAACACATGATTGTTATTTTACATATTTATGCTACATTCAAAAATATAATTTTATTAATAATCTACGGAGAAAATAATGTTCAATATAGTTTGTTGATGCGAAAAATGTAGCACAATGAAAATATCAGAATAGATGTAAAAAAAAATACGTTGCAAAATGATACTCCCTCCATTCCATAATATAATGCACAACTATTTTTTAAAGTTGTTTCATAATATAAAGCGTGCGTGCATGCATTCATGTCATTATCTTTTCCACTAAAATCTTATTATTTAAATTCTACACAATCAACATCTCTAATTTTATTGGGTACATGCATTATATTTATTAGGGTAATCTAAACTATGAAGTGATAATAATTATTTTTTGTCTTTTAAGTTAAGAGTGATTTGTGTCTTATATTTTATATTTTAGAATGGAGGGAGTAGTATTTTTCGAAATGGACATGTATGGTACATTCCACGCATGGATACCAAGAAAAGAGAAAAGAAAGAATATTTAAATGGAGGAATAAATACTACACGACGTGGTCAACTTCTTCTCACCTACCATCTCTCTCATTTCTCAGGAAGTACATGCTCCATGTCAGAGTGTTATACATGCATTGTACCACCCTAATTTTTTTAACTCTCCATTTGTGAAAGTATGGTACATTTTGGAAGCACACATCTTGGAACGGTTGAACGGTTCTGATTCTGGGTGCAGGTGAACCGTGGTTCTATTTTGATTATCCCTATATATATATATATATGTGTATGTATGTATGTTGTATGTATGTATGTATATGTATATGTATGAGTACGTACCAGGGGAGGCAGAGAACAGCCGGCCTGATGTACTGCTTCTCTTCTTGGGATGGAGTGCGCCGTCGAGGCGCCGGTGATGATGAGCGATCAAGAAAGTGGCAGAAGGCGAACTGTGGCCTGCGGCGGGGAAGCGCAACAGATGGGGCACGATGACGGTGGCCTTACGTTTCCTGGAGTAGTTCCTAATTTGCAGATTTACCGGTTGGACTTGGGGATCGAGAGACGGGGAACGAACGTTCTACGCCTCAACACACACGCGCTCGCGATAGAAAGAACGTAAATCAGGGGAGTGGGGTCCTTCCCAATTGAAGTGGGGGCCCATAGGCCATAACTAGAGATATACCTAAGGAGTAAAATTTTGGAAAAAGTACACCGAAGGTCCCTCCACTTGTCATCCGGATACAAAATCGTCCTCCAACCGCAAAACCAGATATATAGGGTCCCTTAACTATATAAAACCGGTCAAAATAGGTCCCTCGGCGGTTTTGACCCCGGTTTTGTCCTACGTGGTAGCTGAGTTAGCGTGAGACCCACATGTCAGTATGACACTTCATCTTCTCTGTTTCCCTCTTTTCTTGTCTCTCTCTTCCTCCCGTTGCTCGGCGCGGCGAGCCGGCGAGGCAACGGTGGTCGCGACTCTGGCGGTGAAGGGCGGTGGCCGGCCCAGAGCTCGGCGGGCGAGGCGGGAGAGGAGGAGGGCAGCGCCGCGACGACAGCTGGCGACGGCTGCGGCGGTGGCGGCCGCAGTGGCCGGCTCCACGGCAGCCAAAGATGGGACTGGGGAGGTGACAGCGAGGAGCCGAGCGCCGCCACTGCGCTTCTTCCTTCTCAGCGGCCGGACGCGCCGCCTCATCGCCACGTCGGGAACCTGGAAGCGCCGGCATGTTGGACGAGTAGTCCTCATCGATCCGGAGGCGGAGCGCGTGCGGGGGCAGCGCGGAGAGGCGGAGCAGGAGCGGATGGAGGCGGGACGGGTGGGAGAGCGAGGCGGTGAGTGACCCGTCGGGGGTGACGGCCACCGTGCCACCGCCGCCTCCTCCCAACCGAGGCGGCGTCTTCGCCGACCTCCGCGCCACCGCCGACTCCTCCCAACCGAGGCCGTCGCGCCCCCCTCCTCCTCCTCCTCCCCGCCTTCACCTTCCGCCACCGCGGGCGCCCGCTGCCTCTCCCTGCTCATGCGGTTCCTCCTTGACACGTTCCGCCGCCACCAGCGTTGGGGTCCGCCCGTCGTCACGGACCTCTCCAAGCTCCGCCACGTGGCTCCCAAGCTCGTCGCCGAGGTCCACCGCACTCGCCCGCCACTGCCGCCGCCGCTCGTGTTCCCGTTCTTCCTGTGGGCGGCGCGGCAGAAGGTTCCCGGCGTTCCACATGCGCGCGAGAGAGCGAGAGCGAGAGAGAGAGAGGAGGAAGGGAGATAAGAGGGGAAAGAGAGGGCGACGTGGAGACCTGACATGTGGGGCCCACGTGGGTCCCACGCTGATTCAGCCGCCACGTAGACCAAAACCGGGGTCAAAACCACCAAAGGACCTCGGGTGTCTGGTTTTGTATAGTTAAAGGACCCAACATATCTGGTTTTGCGGTTCGAGGGCGTTTTCGTATCACGATGACAAGTTGAGGGACCTTCGGTGTACTTTTCCCTAAAATTTTTGACTGGGGTCCAAGGCCCCCATAGCCTGTACGTTACATCCGCCCTGTTTTTGCAGGCGGACCCCTTAAGAGATCTGCGCTCAAAAATACCCCTCCTTTTTTTTCCCTCTCACTCACTTTAAATTTTTTACTTCCTTCTTCCTTTTATTCACTCATCTCTCTCTCTTTCTCTCCTCTCTCTCTCTGCCTCTCCTCTCCTTCTCCACCACTCCGAGTGTGCAGTGCACGGGAGGCGGCGGCCGGGAGCGGGCGGGGGATGGCGCCGCGGCTGGCGACTGGCGGCGGGGAGCACGCGGCGTGTGGTAGGCGGCTGGCTCTGGGCTGGCCGGGAGCAGGCCGAAGGTGGGCGGCTCAGGAGCGCACGCGACAGCTGGATCCGCACCGCCCCAGCCGCCGACGAGGAGGAGGAGGCGATGACGACGAGGAGCCGGCTGGGAGCAGCGCCGCCCTCCCCACGTGCAGCGACCGCGAATCTGGTGGTGGGGGATGTGGGCGGCGGCAGATGTAGCGATGGCGACGACGATGACGAGGACGACGGTGAAGATGATTTTATATTTTTTCGGTTTTTTATTTTTGCGTGCGGGCGACATAACCATCCGCACGCGAAAATAGTGATTTTTCCGTGCGGTTCGCTTAACCCGACCGCACGGGAAGAAGCATTTTTTGTGCGGTTGGGCCATCCGCACGCAAATATTTATTTTCACAGATACCTGGGTGTAGACGGGTAAGACCTCCATATGGAAAATCCTTTTTACCGCATGGGAAAATTATTTTAGGGCAGCAAATGTTTGTGAAATCAGATGGCCTGGCGACCACGTACGGATGGTGATTTCCACGTTACCGCTGGCGATAAAATGGCAGTGGCAAATTGCTAATTGTTGGTCACATCATTCCTTTCGAAGTTTACCAAAGAGGCGTATTGTTTGGAATAACTAAAGGTAGCTGCATGCAACAACCCTGCAGGTACAGCAGATTGCTACTACCCAAGTTGGATAATCCAACGTTTGACCGCGGAACAAGACAATGGGTTCCTCTCGAGCGTGGTGCGAAAAGTCACGGAACCAAACAACACGAGGCTTTCATGTAAAGAAAAAAAGAAAAAAAATACTCCGGTGCTCTCTACTGATAATTTATACTATTAGAATTATTAGCAGTAAATTAATTTACTAATACAACGTTTAGAAGTTACTTTATTATTTATTTTTTCCAGGCTAAATCGATATATGATCATCCATTATGATGACATCGCTCATATTTCATTAAAAAACCAAAAAATAAGGAAAAAAATTCAATCACTGCTAAATGACGATTATATACTCCGCCCCAATTTTTTTCTCACAATAGTACCCCTCCACGTTTCTAGTACCACTAACTGAGGTGGTAGCATAAATAGATCCAAACCCTTCGATCAAATAAGATTAACGGTTCAGATTGATTTATACTACTAATAAACAGTGTTGGAAATTTGGTCATAAATCGACATATTTTAATCCAGAAAAACAAGATTATAATCGTGATGATCACAGTAAGAAATGGTCTAGGGCTAGCGCTAAACATGAATATGCTAGGAGGTACAAAATTAAACATCTAGCAATATATTTAACGCAAAGATAATAATAGAGATATACCCAGAGAACGCTCCACTGGATGGATGATGAGGCATTAGTATTGCCTCTATTGATGTTGATGTTCTCTCCTACGTTGTTGTTCCCTCCTCCTCCTGGTGCGCAACTGTTATCTTCTGCTCCAATAGCACCGGTGCCAGTGGAAAGACATTGCGATGTAGAGGAAGTAGACGTTGCAAATAGCTCATGCAGAGGAAGTAGACGTACCAGAGGATGTAGCCAATGCAGAACAGCAGAAGATATAGCCGATGCAAAGCAGTCGCGTAGGAGGATGCTCCCCAAAAACTGGATCACCCGTCTACCCGTACAGGTACACAAGCATTTGAAGTTTCAAAGGCATGCTTGTCCTGAGCACTAGGGGTGGATAACGAGCCAGCTCGGCTCGTTAAGGATTGGCTAGTTGTCTTAACGAGCAAGCTTGGCTCGGCTCGTTATTGTTAACGAGCTAAAAGACTAGCTCGGCTCGGCTCACGAGCTAGCTCGTTAAGCTTGTTAGGCTCGTTAACATTTTAATATCATATTAATAATTTCAAATTTTATTACGTATTAACATAATAATAAACACTAACTAATATAATACTCACTAAATATGAATAGTTTTGATGTAACTAAAAGACTAAGCACTAGTCAAGAAATAGTAAGCTCGATCATGAAGATATGGTGATATTTTATACTAACGAGCTAAACGAGCAGCTCATGAGCTAAAAGTCTAGCTCAACTCGACTTGACTCATTAAGATTACGAGTTCGAATCGATCTGAGTCGAGCTTGCTACGAGCCGATCCGAGCCACGAGTTTCGAGCTTTTTGTCAACCGGGGAAACATAAGCTAGCATACGAACAAAGGAAAAAAAGAGAACCACAGAGCAAGAACATTGTGCTAGAGAAGACAGAGCCTCTGATATCCTAGCCCAATTAGGATATGGCTTGTGTGGCCCATAAGAGCTGTGTATGCATGTTTAGTACTACCTTGCTAGTTTAGTAAGGGTGGAACCAACTTACAAGGCATCATTCCTCCAATCATACCACTCCAGGTTAACCCTTTTACACGAAGCGAGGATGAAAGTGTAACTGGAGTGGTGTGCGTAAGTGGGTCCATCCGTAAGATGGGCTGGCTATGCGGTTTTAGAGGGAGGGCTGTTACAAGCCAAGAGATGTGTCTTTTCCTCTCTAGGTGATGGGTTTATATAGTGCACGAGAGGGGAATCTGCCTGTTGTCGGAGTAATCAACAGGTCTAATGGGTTTATATAGTGCACGAGAGGGTAATCTGCTCATTGTCGGAGTAATCATGATGGATATATGTAGTGCGCGAGAGGGAAATATGCCTGTTATCGGAGTAATCAACAGGTCTGATGGGTTTATACAGTGTGCGAGAGGGGAATCTACCCGTTGCCAGAGTAATCAATAGGTCTATTACCAGAGCAACCAACAGAGTTAATCTGATAATTAAATCGGGATTGATACTCTCATTTGTTGTAGAGGTAATGGTGTTGATTCTCAACCGTTACAAATTCAATTCCCGTCCATTGCAAAATAATGTGTGAAAGAGAGAGCAGTAGCAGCAGCCAGCGACGCCTTGCCTCGGCCTCAGCCCGGCTCGGCGCGCACGTGTGGCAGTACCACCACCACCTTAACCGGTCAACAGATGCTCTCTAATAACTCTCTATTTAAGTTGAGATCTCTCCAGTTAAATTCAAATCTTGTAACATTAATTATGGGCCAATGGAATTAATTTATTGGGAATAAATTTGGCCTATCCCATTTATTCCAACAGTCTCATAACATTAATCTCTGTTCTTCTGTTCTTGCGCTAGCTACTGTTTCCCCGGTTCTGACCTCCTGTGCGCATAGGTACTCGGGATGAGTAGGCCTCCAAAACTCTATCTAATTGTGTACCTGCAAGGGTAGGCGGGTGGTGGGAGCATCCAGCAGTGCGATGGCTCTACATCAGCTACATCCTCTATAACACGTCTACTTCCTCTGCATCGACGGTCTGCTTCATCTTCTTCCTCTACATCATGAAGGCTGCCACCGGCACCGGCGCTACTGGAGTGAATGACGGTGCACCAGAGAGAACGTCGACGGAGATAATACTAATGCCTCAACATACTTTGGAGTATTCTTCGAGTATATAGGATTTCTATTTCTAGTGTCAAACATGTTTGTAGATGATGTTTTTTTCTTGCTCTTAGCATATTTATGTTTAGCACTAGCACTAGATCACTTCCCACTTGCATGTCATGTTTATTATCTTGTTTTTCTGAATTAAAATATGCCGATTTATGACCATATTTCCAACAGACTTATTTAGCAAATAGAATTATTATATAGAACTACTATTAGGAGCGCATATTCCAAGCGCCAAACATGCATCAGCCCAAGCCCACCATCCCCCACGTCACGTCATCCCACTCCTACCGTTGTCGAAGTAAACAATTTACTCCTATCGCGCGCCTCAACCACCCACCTTTATTCGAGTAATTTACTTCGATTATAAAAACAACTCCTCTGCTTCCGATCCCACCCAACGTCCCGCATCATGTTCCCACCATTATCGGAGTAAATGATTACTTCGATAAAAACAACTTCTCTGCTTCTGGTATATATTCTATTTTTCCCGTACCCAACCAACCACTCTCGCCCCCACTCCGTTTTTTCCTCTCTTTTTTCGGATCTGAATCGATCCACCATCCCAGCCCACAAATCGACGACACATCATGGAGGAGGAGGACGACACCATGGCGGTTGATGGCGGTGGTCAGCGAGCGGTGGCCGGCGGTGGTTAAGGCGAAGGCACTACTTCGGGCCTCGCTGCCGGACGCTAGGCAACACCTTAACCAGCAAAGAGGTGTTCACCTGAGCCAGTAGCAGCAACAAGCAGATGCTCCACGTCGGCGACATTGATAGAACAAGCAAGTAAGGAAATGACACTCTGATTTGCATCTGCATACTCTCCTTCAACTTCACGCATGAAGCCCTAATTATTTTTGCAAATCAAATTAACGTGCAATCTCCAATATTACCTAATCTCAATTGATGGGCTGCACAGGTCCTACATTTGCACATCGTGCTCCATGTGGCTGGCCGCAGAGGATAGGGTGGAGTCCACCGGTGATGGAGGTTGTTTGCTATTTTTCTTTTCCTCATCATATGTATTGACATGAACGAGAATGTTTTTGCATTTTTTTCGTGCTTGCTAGATGATGGATGGCTGCTACTGCACAACGTCGAGCTCATATCTATACCTCACCGCTACATCCTTCCATGATTCTATTGTCGACTATTGTTTGCCACCTGGTTGCCCTCTCCACTACCAGTCACAAGATACAGACCGTGCTCTTCATCCTCATAGCAAGATCCAGCAAAGCCACCAGATGGATTTTTGGCTGAATCATTTTTTTTTCTTTTCTAGTTTGATTCACCTATGAGTAATTTTATCGCTTGTGTGTGATTGAGCCTGTAATTTTTTCATTCATACGACTATTTTGTGATACAGATCAACAATACTCTTAGTATCAGTTTTTACTCGTATACTGTATATTGAACACATCAGTAAACATATTACTACAGGGTGGCTACGATTTCATGGCTATATCGAGAGGAAGGTGGTAATTGTTCTACTCGCAGACCACGAAATCTCAGTTTTTACTCTTATAATGTGTATTGAACACATCGGTAAACACATTACTACACGGTGGCTACGAGATCATGGGCTATATTGAGAGGAAGGTAGTAATTGTTTTACTCACAGACCACGAAATCTAAATAATATTTATAATATTGGTAAAAGAATTACTAGCGTTGTAAGCTGGTAGTAATTCTTTTACGATAATCTAGGTATGGCGTCATACGATGTGGACGCATTCATGTGAGTAAATTTGTTACTTTTGAATGAGTAATGTGAGAGGCTAGGAGTAAATTGGTTACTTTTGAAACGTTTGAAACGTGCGGAGATACTAGAAAAAGAAAACTCGGAAAGAAAAACTACCGGTAAATATTTTACTAAAACGAGAAAACAGAAAAACTACATAGAAGGAACGAAAAACAGAAAAATATAGATGATTAATATTTTACTAGGTCCATGGATGAAGCACGGATGAGATGGAAAAGAGAAAAAATAAACACGGAAGGTGGAGTGGTAAAAAATGAAAAAAACGAACTGAGAAAAGCTGGGATGCGGAGGAAAGGTGCGGTGGTAAAAAAGGGAAAATCCGGAAGGAGAGGGCGTTGTGCGGCGCTCGAACTAATATTCCGTGTTGTGCCCAAAATTTGCATATTTTTTCATTATTAGAACAGTGTACAATGTAAATATCGTCAGACGAGTGAAAGCGTGCACACGATGTGGAAGTGGACCCCCATCTCGTCCCCAAGCTCATCGGCGAGCTCTCCTACGGGACTCTCCATCCGGACGAACAGCTCGTCCACGAGCGCCCTGCCGATGTGCGCTTCGACGAGCGGCCCGAAGATCGATCGCTGCTTGTTCGCCACCCTGCGCCCGACCACGCGGCGGTCATGGGGGTCATCGTCCATGGCGAGATGGCTTCCCATGACGTGCTCCAGCCGGTTGACAGCGAAGGAGCCATCGGCGGCCTCCCTGAACACCTCCAGCGTCGCGGCGTACGACGGGATGTTGAAGCTGTCCATCGTCCCGCCGTCGATCAACCCCTCGTCGACGAGGTCACGCCACGACTCCTCGAACATGGCGCCCAGTAGGTTGAAGCTGCGGCCTAGGTCGGTGGGGCCGGCGGACGACGAGCGGCCGATGAAGACCAGGAACAAGGCGCGACCGGGTTTCAACTCGGCGGCGCGGCAGCGCAGGAAGCGCGTCATGTCTGACTGGAACTGCCGCCGGTACGACGTGTCGGTCTCCTCCGAGCTGCCTTGCACGAACACCTTCCCCTTGTTGTAAGCCGGCGACCGCGTATCGGCGACTTTGTCCGGCACCTGTGTAATCAAGCCCCTCCTTTCAATTACTCCCTTCCTTTTGTCCCAAAATATAACAACTTTTAAACTTCAGGATTTGTCCTAAAATATAACAATTTCTCCACCAACTTTCTCTTCCCAAGCAATTACAACCCTCCACCATTTACTTTTCCCACCTACCTTCACTACTTATCTAGTCACAATCCTCAATCATTCACTTCTACTAATTTTCTTAATAACCATGCACGGAGGGAGTAATAATACGTGTTCAACTCTAAAACTTATATTTTGAGACGGAGGGAGTAGGTGAATTACACACCTTGAAATCTATATTGATGCGTACATACCTGAGAGAGCCAGTGCAGGGAGACGGTGGAGGTGATGGGTTTATATAGTGTGCGAGAGGGGAATCAGCCCATTATTACAGTAGCTCTGTAAGAGCCAAAAGATGTGTCTTTGCCTGACTAGGTGATGGGTTTACATAGTGTGGCTCTGTAAGAGCCAAGAGATGTATCTTTGCCTATCTAGGTGATGGGTTTATATAGTGTGCGAGAGAGGTGTCTTTGCCTGTCTAGGTGATGGGTTTATATAGTGTCCGAGAAGGGGAGCTCTGTTACGGAGCTCAGAGATGTGTCTTTGCCTGTCTAGGTGATGGGTTTATATAGTGTGCGAGAGGGGAATCTGCCCATTGTTTCAGTAGCTCTGTAAGAGCCAAGATATATGTCTTTGCCTGTCTAGGTGATGGGTTTATATAGTGTGGCTCTTACTGTCTTTGCCTAGGTTTATATAGTGTGCGAGAGGGGGAGCTCTATTACAGAGCTAAGATATGTGTCTTTGCCAGTCTAGGTGATGGGTTTATATAGTGTGCGAGAGGGGTGATGGGTTTATATAGTGTGCGAGAGGGGGAGCTCTATTACAGAGCCAAGAGATGTGTCTTTGCCTGTCTAGGTGATGGGTTTATATAGTGTGCGGGAGGAGAATCTGTCCATTGTTACAGAGCCAAGAAATGTGTCTTTGCCTGGATCTGCTCATTGTCGGAGTAATCGTGATATGTTTATATAGTGCCCGAGAGGGAAATCTGCCTGTTATCGGAGTAATCAACATGTTTGATGGGTTTATACAGTGCGCGAGAGGGGAATATGCCCGTTGCCGGAATAATCAACATGTATGTTACCAACACAATCAATAGAGTTAATCCAATAATTAAATCGGGATTGATACTCTCATTTGTTGAAGAGGTAATGGTGTTGATTCTCAACTGTTACAAATTCAATTCCCGTCCATTGCAAAATAATGTGTGAGAGAGAGAGAGCAGTACCAGCAGGCAGCCACGCCTTGCCTTGGCCTCAGCTCGGCTCGACTCGCGCGTGTGGCAGTCCCATCACCACCTTAACCGGTCAAAAGGTGCTCTCTAATAGCTTCCTATTTAAGTTGAGATCTCTCCAGTTAAATTCAAATCTCGTAACATTAATTATGGGCCAATAGATTTTTTGGGAATAAATTGGGCCTAGCCCATTTATTCCAACAATCTCATAACATTAATCTCCGTTCTTCTGTTCCAGCGCTAGCTACTGTTTTCCTGGTTCTGACCACCTGTGCACATAGGTGCTCGGGACGAGCAAACCTCCGAATCTCTATCTACTTGTGTACCTGCAAGGATAGACGGGTGATCAAGTTTTTTGGGAGCATCCGGCGGTGCAACGGCTCTGCATCAGCCACATCCTCTGCAACACGTCTTCTTCCTCGGCATCGACGGTCTGCTTCATTCTACATCATGATGGCTTCCACCGGCACTGGCGCTACTAGAGTGAACGACGGCGCACCAGGAGGAGGGAACGGCAGTACCGGTGAAAACGTCAACGTCAACGGAGACAATACTAATGCCTCAACACACTCTGGAGCGTTCTTCGAGTATATAGCATTTCTATTTCTAGTGTCAAGCATGTTTGTAGATGATGTTTTGCTTGCTCTTATCATATTCATGTTTAGCGCTAGCACTGGATCATTTCCCACTATGCATGTCATATTTATTATCTTGTTTTTCTGAATTAAAATATACCGATTTATGACTATATTTTAAACATACTTATTTAGCAAATACAATTAATATATTTAAATCATTGTGCCCACAATTTGAATATTTTGTTCATTATTAGGACATTGTACGACGTAAATATCGTTAGACGAGTGAAAGCGAGCACAAGATGTGGAAGCGAACCCCCATCTCGTCCACAAGCTCGTCGGAGAGCTCTTCTGCGCGCCTCTCCATCCGGACGAACAGCTCGTCCGCGAGCGCCCTGCCAATGTGCGCTTCGACGAGCGGCCCGAAGATCGATCGCTGGTTGTTCGCCACCCTGCGCCCGACCGCGCAGCGGTCGTCGTGGGGGTCGTCGTCCACGGCGAGACGGCCTCCCATCACGTGCTCCAGCCGGTTGACAGCGAACGAGCCGTCGGCGTCGACGGACTCCCTGAACTCCTCCAGCGTCGCAGCGTACGACGGGATGTTGAAGCTGTCCATCCTCCCGCCGTCGATCAACCCCTCGTCGACGAGGTCACGCCACGACTCCTCGAACATGGTGCCCAGCAGGTTGAGGCTGCGGCCTTGGTCGGTGGGGCCGGCGGACGACGGGCGGCCAACGAAGACTAGGAACATGGCGCCACCAGGTTTCAGCTCGGCGGCGCGGCAGCGCAGGAAGCGCGCCATGTCGGACTGGAACTGCCGCCGGTACGCCGTGCCGGTCTCCTCCGAGCTGCCCTGCACGAACACCTTCCCCTTGTTGTAAGCCGGTGACCGCGTATCAGCGACTTCGTCCGGCACCTGTGTAATCAAGCCCCTCCTTTCAATTGGGTGAAAACACACCTTGAAATCTACTCCCTCCGTCTCTAAATATTTGACGCTATTGACTTTTTTAAACATGTTTTACCGTTCGTCTTATTAAAAAAATTAAGTAATTAATAATTCTTTTTCTATCATTTGATTCATTGTTAAATATATATTTTTATGTATACATCTAGTTTTACATATTTCACAAAAGTTTTTGAATAAGACAAATGGTTAAACATGTACTAAAAGGTCAACGGTATCAAATATTTAGGTACGGAGGGAGTTTATTGATGCGGTACATACCTGAGAGAGCCAGTGCAGACAGAAGGTGGAGGTGAACACGTCGATAGATCGCTCCGGGAACAGACGGTCATGGAACGAGCCAGGCACGGCGGCGGCGAAGTAGCGCCGCCCACTGCCGTCGCCGGAGGAAGCGGCGTGCGGCGGGAGGAGGCTGAAGAGGGTGTTGAAGTCGTTGCTCGGGAGGTCGGAGAAGTAGAACCAGAACTCCGGATCAGCAGCCGCGACGGCGTCGACATGCTTGCCGCGACCGCGACACAGCTTGGTCATGTGCTGCACGATCGCATCGGCGACGACGAGCGAGCTGCGGCCACAGGAGCAGCCGAGGTCGGCCGCCGTCAGCAGAAGCCTCCCCGGCCCGCGGGGAGGGATCGCGATCTTGTCCAGTGTCTCCTCCAGGGCATACAGCATCATTTGCAGGTCTCTCAACTGCACTTTGTTGCCAGTTCCGCTCGATCGATCAAACACAGGGAAGGAACTTGCTTATAAAAATAAATAACCTCTACTTGCATGCTGATTTTTTTTTTTAAACTAAAGTTGCATGCTGAATTTGAACTCCAACAATTCTTTGCGTATGTAAATAAGGAGAATTTAAACTACAATAAATTGTTGTGGCATTTAGGTAATTAATTTAGTTTTATTTGTTACCTGAGCTTTACTGTTTTTGAGGTAACTGGACTCCCCTTGCCCACCCTTCATGCAGAAGACGTTCTTCACGTCCTGCGCTTGCATCTTCTCTTGATTCCACCGTGCGAACACTACGGGAGTAGATTTGATGGGGGCGTATATCTAGTATATATATACTAGTCTCTGATGATACAGTTTGTTGCTAATGTCTTTGATTAAAATAAAAATATCCTGGCCTTAAAATTTCTGCTCTTTTGCTTTGTCTGAAATGAAACTGTAATTAAAAGGTTTTTGAAGTAAGAGTTGATAAAGACAAAGAAGAAAGAGTGGCTGACCCCTCAAAAGATCTGCATGAAAAATACCCCTCCATCTTTTCCCTCTCACTCACTTTAAATTTTTCACTTCCTTCTTCATTTTATTCACTCGTGTCTCTCTCTTTCTCTCCTCATTCTCTCTGCCTCTCCTCTCCTTCTCCACCACTCCGAATGTGCGGCGCGCGGGAGGCGGCCTTCTCGGTGCCACCGACGAGGTGGCGGCCGGGAGCGGGCGGGGAGCGGCGCCGCGGCTGGATACCGGGGGCCGGGAGCACGCGGCGCGCGGGAGGCAGGAGGCAGGCGGCTTGGGAGCGCGCGCGACGCCAGGATCCGCGCTGCCTCTGCCGCCGATGAGGAGGAGATGGAGGAGGCGGCCGGGAGCGGCCCCACGACAGTCCTCCGCCGCCGTGATGGCTGGATCTGCCGCCTCCGCCGCCGCCGACGATGACAAGGCGGCCGGGAGCGGCACCGCCCTCCCCACGCATAGTGGCCACGGATCCGGTAGTGGGGGATGTGTGCGACGGCGGATCCAGCGATGGCGGCGATGATGACGAGGACGACAGCGACGGTGCCTTCTAGGATTAGGGTTCGGATTTTTTGATTTTATTTTCTTTTCAGTTTTTTATTTTTGCTTGTGGGCGACATAACTTGCACGCGAAAATAGCGATATTTCCGTGTGGTCCGCTTAACCCGACTGCACAGAAAGATGCACACCTGGGTGTAGACGGGCAAGACCTCTCCACACGAAAAAAACCCTGTTTGACCGCATGAAAAAATCCTTTTCGTACTAGTGAATGCAGCAAATTTGTTTGTGACCGGCGTTAATGGGTGTTTTTTAGTAGTGAAATGTTTGTGACATCAGATGGACGAGTGACCACGGATGGTGATTTCCACGTTACCGCTGGCGATAAAATGGTAGTGGCAAATTGCTAATTGATGGTGACATCATTGCTTTCGAAGTTTACCAAAGAGGCGTATTGTTTGGAATAACTAAGGTAGCACCGTTGCAACAACCGTGCAGGTACAGCAGATTGCGACTATCCAAGTTGGATAATCCAACGTTTGGCCGCGGAACAAGACAATAGGTTCTTCTAGAGCGTGGTGCGAAAAGTCACGCAACCAAACAAGACGAGGCTTTCATCTTAATAAAAAAAGAAAAAAAATACACCAGTGCTCTCTACTGATAATATTGTACTGCCAGAATTATTATGAGTAATTTACTAATACAATGATTAGAATTTACTTAATCATTTATTTTTTTCCCTGGCTACATCAATATATGATCCTTCATTGTGCTGGCATCGCTCATATTTCATGAAAAAACCAAAAAAAAAAGGAAAAAAAAGTCTAATCACTGCTAAATGACGATTATATCCTGTGCCCCTAATTTTTTTATCACAATAGTACCCCTTCACGTTTCTACTACCGCTAACTGAGGTGGTAATATAAATAGATCTGAACCCTTCAATCAAATGAGATTAACGGTTCAGATTGATTTTTACTACTAGTAAAGAGTGTTGGAAATTTGGTCATAAATTGGCATATTTTAATCCAGAAAAACAAGATAATAATCGTGACAATCGCAGTAAGAAATGATCTAGTGCTTGTGCTAAACATGAATATGCTAGCAGGTACAAAAACATCTAGCAACATATTTAACACAAAGATAAGAATAGAGATATACCTAGAGAATGCTCCACTGGATGGATGATGAGGCATTAGTATTGCCTTCGTTGATGTTGACGTTCTCTCCTATGTCGTCATTCCCTCCTCCTCCTCCTGGTGCGCAACCGTTATATATCTCCTACTCCAATAGCGTCGGTGCCAGTGGAAGACATTGCGATGGAGAGGAAGTAGACGTTGTAGACAGCTGATACAGAGGAAGTAGATGTACCAGAGGACGTAGCCAATGCAGAATAGCAGAAGACGTAGCCGATGTAGAGCAGTCGCGTCGAAGGATGCTCCCCAAAAATATGATCACCCGCCTACCCATAGATGTACCAGAGGACGTAGCCAATGCAGAACAGCAGCAGACATAGCCGATGTAGAGCAGTCGCGTCGGAGGATGCTCCCCAAAAATATGATCGCCCGCCTACCCATGCAGGTACATAAGCGGATGGAGTTTCAAAGGCCTGCTTGTCCCGAGCACCCATGCCCGCAGGTGATCAGAACCAGGGAAACAAAAGCGCGTAGGAACAAAGGAAAAAAGAGAACCACGGAGGAAGAACGGTGTGCTAGAGAAGACAGAGCCTCTGACATGCTGGCCCAATTACGATTTGCCCTGTGTGGGCCATAAGAGGTCTGTGCGCATGTTTAGTACCATCTTGCTAGTTTAGTATGGGTGGAACCAACTTATAAGGCATCATCCCTCCAACCATATTAATCCCAGTTAACCCTTTTACACGAAGCGAGAACAAAAATGTAATTGGAATGGTATATGTAAGTGGGTCCGCCCGTTGGATGGGCTGCCTATGCAGTTCTGTAGGGAGCTCTGTTACGATCCTAGAGATGTGTCTTTGTTTGTCTGTCTAGGTGATGAGTTTATATAGTGTGCGAGAGTTATAGAGCCAAGAGATGTGTCTTTGCCTATCTAGGAGCTCTATTACAGAGCCAAGAGACAGTAACAAGTCGAGATGTGTCTTTGCTGATGGGTTTATATAGTGTGCGAGAGGGGGAGCTCTATTACAGAGCCAAGAGACAGTAACAAGTCGAGATGTGTCTTTACTGATGGGTTTATATAGTGTGCGAGAGGGGGAGCTCTGTTACAGAGCCAAGTCTGGGAGCTCTGTAAGAGCCATATATGTTCGCTCTTTGCCTATCTAGGAGCTCTATTACAGAGCCAAGAGACAGTAACAAGTCGAGATGTGTCTTTGCTGATGGGTTTATATAGTGTGCGAGAGGGGGAGCTCTGTTACAGAGCCAAGTCTGGGAGCTCTGTAAGAGCCAGAGATGTTCGCCTGAGCTCTCTTACATAGCCAAAAGATGTGTCTTTGCTGATGGCTTTATATAGTGTGCGAGAGGGGGAGCTCTGTAAGAGCCAGAGATGTGTCTTTGCTTATCTAGATGATGGGTTTATATAGTGTGGCTCTGTAAGAGCCAAGAGATGTGTCTTCGCCTGTCGAGGTGATGGGTTTATATAGTGTGCGAGAGGAGAATCTGTCCATTGTTACAGTGTCTTTGCCTGTCTAGGTCCATCCTTCATGCAGAAGACGCTCTTCACGTCCTGCACTTGCATCTTATCTTGATTCCATCGTGCGAACACTACGGGAGTAGATTTGATGGGGGCGTATATCTATTATCTAGTATATATATAGTAGTCTCTGATGATACAGTTTGTTACTAATGTCTTTGATAAAAATAAAAATATCCTGGCCTTAAAATTTCTGCTCTTTTGCTTTGTCTAAATGACACTGTAAATAGGTTGATATGCTGGGTTTTTGTGGTAAGAGTTGATAAAGACAAAGAAGAAAGAGTGGCTGATACGCTGAACTACGAAGTGAGAACTTTCCTATAACTTATTCAGGCATTCAATTTCTTCGTCTTCTAACTTTTAACTAATTAATAAAAATGATCAATAATTAGAAAGTAAAATAATTATAATTCTTAAGTTATATCCGATTTTTTTAGTTTATGTGAATTGTTGTTTTATTTATAGTTAAATAAATAATTTAAGGTCCACATTACCCATAGTTCATTTAGAAAAAAAAATACATCATTTGAACATAAACACCTATCCTTTGTGTGGTAACTAAATAGCAAAACGAACAGAAAATTTAAAAAAAATGACAATAAGTATTATATCACAAGTACATCCTCTGTAGAAAAAAATTTTAGAGATTGTAAAAAAATTGACTATCAATTTTCACTTGAATAGATGATTCATTATGTTTAACCTATAGATATACTTTTAGAAAAATCTTAAACCGCTTCATTTCTTACGTCTTGAAAATTAAAAAAAAAGATATTAGAAATTTTGAGGAAAAAAAATCAGACCATCAGTTTTCGCTTAAATCATTGAGAAAAATCGAAAAAAAACACCCCTCCATTGTGCCCTCCCCACACATGCACATAACACAATACTACTCGTTTCCTCCTCCACTATACCCCTCCTAGTTTTATATAACGAAAAATAATAATAAATATTAAAATATGCATAATTTTTAAGCTACACATATGTTTTCTAATCTAACTAAACCAACGATTTGAAGATCCATGATGCCTATATTTTTTAACTGGTATAAAATAAAACATAAAATAAATAAATGTCAATAGGGATCTACATTTCACCTGTCCTCACGCAATATCCAGCATACATTTTCCCGTCCATTGACCTTGCATAATATGGCAATTTTCTCTCCGGCGACGAAACTGTCATCATCTAAAGGCAGCCAAGTGGTCATATTTAATTCATTTATTCTCCTTCAATACTTAAAAAAAGGTAGAAAAAACATTTTTGCATGCGGCCGAAAACGGTCTTCCCAGGCGGACGGCCATTCCTAGGTGAGGTGGAAGGGAGCACGACACACCGCTAGGGAAGATGGGTAGGAGTCTCCTGCGATAAGAAGGCCCCGCCGGCTAGGAAAATATGCGCCAAATTTTAAAATTTCCCGCCAAATTTTTTAATAATATTATTATCAATAATGTTGCAATTAATTAATTAGTGCATAAATAATATTAGGAACTTACAAACATTTAATACTAAGAAAAATACATATATTGCATTAGTGAAAAGTGTCATCAATATGTCACAATATTTTTTATATTTGTCATTTTAAATGCACTATCTAATTAATAAATACATTATGGCATCGCGTTGTTCCAATCCCGAAGAGACTTGTATTCATCGCTTGTCGCTAGGGTGCCTTCTGGGTCGAAGAACCGTCCTTGGATATGATAGCACTCGTGATGGATGAAGTGGCAGAGGTCCCGCTACAAATTTTGAATGCCTTCATCATCAAAACT